AAATGGTGGAAGGAGGGATTTTGAGGCAAGGCTGCTGACAAAGCTTTAATGAGTTAAATTAGATGATTCCCTCTCGTGCACGTCTGTGAAACTAAGCTAAGAAAGAGATGAAAGATAACAGGACTAAGAATGTTTTAACCCAGTGATTTACATCACAGATATGATTAATATTTAATTCTAATCTTTTTGAATTTTGCCATCAACTGATCAGTGTTCATAAAATGCTCATAAATCAGTGAACGTCACAACATGTGGCTAGGGCTTGGTATTGTTTTAATTTGATCCATTCCTATTCAGATTCTGCTTATTGATTTCAATTCTTATCGATTCCCAGTTTAGATTCCAAAGTTGTAAAAAAGTGAAGTAAAACATTTTGACCTGTGTGATCATTTAACCTACTTATTGATCATTTATTTGCAAAATAAAATATATGTATTTATGTGCAGTGTTTTTACAATAAAATAATGTAATGTTTAAATATTAAATATAGTTACTATAATGAAACTATGTTAAATTTGTGGTTACTGTAGTTTTACTACAAATAGCATAATTATGGTTACTGTAGTGAGAGAATAGTACATTTGTGGATACTGTGATTTTACCGCAAATACCATATAGTTAAACTAGTTATTATAGTAAAAACATGGTTAATTTAATGAGTTAACACATACACAAGCAAGTTCACACAGAATAAAAACTATACATTTTCTCTGTCATGTAGATCAAGGTGTTGGTCATTTTTATTTACCGTATGCTGATCATTTATTTTCTATGATCTTTTATCGTAGCGCTCGGCCTACGTAAGGCATCACATACAGTTGTCTATTTCAAATCAATGTGGTGAGCACACAGATGATCACACCACACTAATATGTGCCTTTTTCGTCTTTTATTATCTTATTTGCCTTTTTAGAGCACTTTTAGCTGTGCAGTAGCGCAGACGTTTACATTAGTTTAGCGGGCAAGGTCCCGAGGTTGCAAGATTGGCGTAAAAAAAATCAGCCAAACATCCATTCAAAGCTAGGCGGAAAACTGCAGGCTTAGAAATACTGTAAGACTTGGCAACACTGGAAAGTCCTGGCAGATCGCAGGCCGGATTTTAGCAGAAAAAGGGTTCAGTGAATAAATGCACACACTGGAAAAACTGCTACATATAACGACTTTCTACTTGGGGACCTTGACATACATGTAGCGGAGTAAAAAGTACGATATTTGTCTTTCAAATGTAGTGAAGTTGAAGTAGCAAGTTTCCAGAAAAAATAATACTCAAGTAAAGTACAGATACTCAAAAATTGTACTGAAGTACAGTACTCAAGTAAATGTACTTCGTTACTGTCCACCTCTGGTGATATAACATATTGTTGATTATATGTACATTACTGTTCAAAAGCTTTTTTTAAGAATTGAATACTGTATTCTGCAGACATTTCAAATGTTACAAGAGATTTCTATTTCAAATAAATGCTGTTCTTTTGATCTTCCTATTTCTCAAACAATTCTGAGAAATAAAGTATTATGGTTTCCACAAAAATATTAAATAGCCCAGTATTTTCAATATTGACAATAAGAATAACACGAATGTTCTTGAGCAGCAAATCAGCATATTAGAATGATTTCTGAAGGATCATGTGACACTGAAGACTGGAGTAATGACTTCATAGGAATAAATAACAATTTAAAATATATTATTATTTTAAAATATAATATTATTAGTGGTGCTTGCCTATAAGGCAAAGCATCGCTATTGTTCTCTTGCATACTTAATATTTTTCTTCTGGACAAAACTTCGCATGTAACTCGTCCCGCACGGTTTGTCGTAGACCCATGAACGAGGTGTCAAATCGACCGGCTCATTGAGGAGAGGTGTGCTTTGTCTATTCTAAGCAATCGGACCTACGATGTTCGCACAGCAGACGAAAAAGCGGGCAAAAATGTCCCATAGACTTACATGGCAGAATGTTTATGAATTTTAATCTCAGCTGTCACTTTCTCTCCCACACACACGCGCACACACACACACCCTTCTCTCGCTCACTCTGTCTAACTCTCTCTCACACTCATTTGACTTATCTTTTCAAGTAACCAATAAGTAATGACCTTTAATCTTCATAGCCACACCCTAGCAACCACCCAATAGACTTCCATTCAAACAGATCAAAAGGGATTTCTTTGGATAGAAGTGTCATAGAAACATGGGGGTTTGCTCTTTTGACTCATGCTAGCAAACAGGACTTCCATCATGCTATTAATTCTAGCAGTGAATAGCTACATGCTAATAGCGATTAGCTAAGTGTTAAAACATGCTAAAATTCCCATCTAACTGTTAAAGGGGTCCTATTAGGCTTTTTCACTTTTTCAACTTTAGTTAGTCTGTAATGTTGCTGTTTGAGCATAAAAAAGATCTGCAAAGTTACAAAGCTCAAAGTCCACTTCAAAAGGAGATATTTTATTTAACAGAAATCACTTTTCAAAAACTACAACGAACGACTCGTTTGGACTACAACGCATATTTTCCGGGATTTATGATATCACAAATATCGACGAATGGGATGAGACCTGGTTGAGCTGCACTAGAGAAGGCAACGAGTGTTATCACTATGTCAGAGACACGCTAGCTTTCCCAAGGCAGACGAACTTAGAGTGGTTACAATCATCCGGGTTTAAATCGCGCTCAAATTGATTGATTTTGACGCAATATTTACACTGAAGCTCGCAGGCGGCTATGGTAAGGGGCATGACATTTCCCGACTGGGCGCCGAGTGCTGCCAATCATAACACACACTGGCCCAGCTGATCAATCACAGCACATTTCGTATTTCAGAAGGCGGGCCTTCATTTGATACAGGAACTATTCGAGCCGTTCATGCCAGACTGGCGTGACATTTCCCGACCAGGCGCTGAGTGCTGCCAATCACAACACACACTGGCCCAGCTAACCAATCATAACACATTTCGTATTTCAGAAGGCAGGCCTTCATTTGATACAGGAACTATTCGAGTCGTTCATGCCAGACTGGGGAGAGAGGTGTTGTAATAATGTAAAATATGTGAAAAATAATGTGTTTTTCCAACATCCTAGTATGAGAGCCTGTTCTAGTACACCCCCAAAACAAATCAAGACTTTGTAAAAGAGCATAATAGGACCCCTTTAAAACATGATAAAAAGACCCTAGTAACTGCACAGTGCCGAGTTTTGCCACGGCAAGCACCACTCATATTTTCTCTTTAGAAAATGTACATATCTAGTTAATATTAAAATATTAGTTTAAAATTGTAACAATATTTCACAATATTGCTTTTTTTTTATCAAATAGCCTAAATGCAGCCTTGGTGATTATAAAATACTTTTTTTTTTAAACATTAAAAAATCTTACCAACGTTAAACATTTGAACAGTAGTGTATATTAGTATTTTTCAGTTGTGCTTTAATTAGCGTGTTTTATACTGTAAAACCTAAAAAGTTGACGCTATTTTGTGTGTGTGTGTGTGTGTGTGTGTGTGTGTTTGCGTGAGCATGAGTTGTTTTTCAGTCTAAATGTTCCACTGTGTTTTAGGTGAGGTGTACAGGGACACACTTACTTGTGCACATTGATCACACCTCTGAGGTTTACTAGTCACATTTGAGACAATTATTATGCGACAAAAACAGCTAAAGCGTTCTGTGTTGTGGAAATCTTATGCATACATTTGATATGACACATCTGTGAATTGGTTTGAGGTTTATTGTGCACTTTATAGTTTGCAAAAATACACACAAGCTGTATTTCATAATCATGGACATTATCAATTCAAGAGAGAAAATGTATTTTCCTATACAGTATAGTCAATGCATAAAAATGAACAGGCAAACAGATATAGCATTGGACAGCGAGCGACAAGTTGAAATGACACGGTATGCTGGGGAAATGATAGCTGCATTTGTGTAATGTGTTTAACATTGCTGTTGAAAATGTGTTACTGTTCAGGGAAGAAGGAGAGGCACTTATACCAATTGGCATCTCTCAGTAAGGTCACATCAAGCTGCTCATAGCACAGTGACGAAAAAAGATGTTCACAAACCGGCAACATTCAAAGCCATTACTGAGGGCCCTTCAGTGCTTGCCTTTTTTTTTCAACAAATTATCTCTTGCTTGCTCTTCTCTTCTTCTTTTTGTCAAAATTCATCAGAATATATGATTAAATTGCAGATTAGTTCTGGCCAATATATCAAATACTCACAATGTATTTGAAAAGTTTTTGCTGACAAAAAATAAAATTACACAATAGTATGAATATCAGTTATTTTAATGCACTTTTTATTTGAACCTTTAAGTTTCCACATCATGTGACTAATTTCAAGATCCCTCCTTTGATCGTGACTTGCAAGTATTAGTTTTAGAGTTAGATTCAGTCTTTTAATTATTATGAATCACTTCAAACTGTCTGTTTTAGTGAACTAATTCATAACGGTCATTCAGTGATTCATTTGTCATTCTTTTAAATTTTACATTAAAAAAAATTGATAATATATTGTGCAAGGATGCATTAAATCGATCAAAAGTGACAGTATAGACATTCATAATGTTAAAAAAGCTTTTTATTTCAAATAAATTTTGTACTTTTGAACTTTCATATCATAGAATCCTAAAAAAATTACATGTTTTCCACAAAAATATTACAAAGCACAGCCGTTTTAAACATTAATAATAAGAAGAAATGTTTTCTGAAGGATCATGTGAAACTCAAAACTGGAGTAATAGCTGCTAAAAATTCAGCTTTCCTATCACGGGGATAAATTACATTTTAAAATTTATTAAAATAGAAAACAGTTATTTTAAATTGTAATAAAATTTCACAATATTACTGTTTTTACTGTATTTTTAATTAAATAAATGCAGCCTTTTTGAGCACGAGACTTTCTTTAAAAACTGTCAAACTTTTGAACACTAATGTCTATTTTTTTGTCTATTTTTTGGTGTATCACCCTGCCTAATCGCTTATTTCTCATCTTTTCCCCTCAGGTCAGTGACAGACCCCAGAGACGGCAAACGCGTGGCCCTCAAAAAGATGCCCAATGTCTTCCAAAACCTCGTCTCCTGCAAGAGGGTTTTCCGTGAGCTGAAGATGCTTTGTTTCTTCAAGCACGACAATGTGAGCTTCCCACCATCCCCTACTGTTTTTTTTTTTAATCAGTTAGTGTTACCTAACTCTCGCTCTATCTATGTGCCGTCCCCATGGTGCCATTAGCGTGAGCCTGGTTAGCTCTCGTTGTCCCTGGGCTGCTGGTGCCTGGGAAACGAATGTCATATGAAGGCTGGTGTCGGTGCCTACATTCTCTGGCATCAAAGCTGACCTCTGGCTCTGTCTTTGTTTCTCCACAGGTGCTGTCAGCTCTGGATATTCTGCAGCCTCCACACATCGACTACTTTGAGGAAATGTATCCTAAACTGTAAGCTAAACTACCAGGTGCTGTCAAATTAAGTGATTTTGATCCCAAAAATGTTGGATTACAAAAATATAATGTGATAATTATTTCTGACCGATAACATGTATGATGTTCTGAAATCCGCAATGTGTAAAACCTGATGATCATGTTCTCCAGCATGATTTGCGAATGATCTAAAGAGCATCTTCAAGAACATCTAACGTCTGACATCTGACTATCACAAATTTGCACATTTGATTTCAAAATAAATATTTTATATATAATGTATTTTTAAAGTTCCAGGTTAGCTGTTTTGTAGGTCTAAATGATTTGACTAAAGATGTTGTGATTATATGAATATGTCTGTACATAATAATAATTATTATTATTATACTGAAAAGATACTGAGATACTAAAACACTGGATCATGAGCGGCTTGTGTATAAAAGATCACAGTGTCGTGATTCACTCTGAAACACACATTGTTTATATTCATTTAATTAAATTGCAGCCTTTGCAATTTTATAATCAAACCAAGCCATTTTGGTTTTATTTCAGTTAATCATACAGTTAATCACACATATTTCTTTGTTTTACATTCTTCAGAATCCTCAAGCTTTGTGTTTATTTACAGGTTTAAATGACATTTTAAATCACAGATTTTCATTGTGGTTTTTAGACCTTGAAAGCTTGAAAACAATTTGAAAATTAAAAAAAGTAGCAGTATGAAACAATAGCATGTAGATTCCAGAGCTCCGCCATAGAAAGGGCATCTGAGGTCTTGTTTTAAAGGGGTCATATGATGCGATTTCAATTTTTCCTTTCTCTTTGAAGTGTTACAAGCTCTTGGAGCATAAAGAAGATCTGTAAAGTTGCAAAGACTAAAGTCTCAAATCCAAAGAGATATTCTTTATAAAAGTTAAGAGTCGACCACGCCTACCTAAAACGGCTCGTTCTAACACGCCCCCACATGTCTACGTCACGATGTGGGAAGATTTGCATAACGCCGCCCAAATGTTCACGCAAAGAAAGAAGGCGTAACTTTTATTCTCGCTGTAGTATTGTTGCTGCCACCATGTCTAGAGCTGATCCGTGCTGGTCGCTGAGGGAATACATCAACTTCGCGCTGTGTATCGCCGGATCAGCTTTCACCGTGGACGAAGCGGAAGTCCAGCCCGGGGTCGTCACATGTGGTTGCCGCAAGCCTCCTTCGTCGAATCCGCCAGCCGCGCCGTTCTCAAGCCCGCCGCCTCTGCTCACTCTAGCCCTCCGGCCGTTCCTCACT